GTACATTTTTTTTCACAATTTGATGGAATGTATCTGGTCTGTGGCAACTGAGCACAAATGTATTGATTATTTATGTGGCAATTTCACTTCTGCATCTTCACCATACAACTACTGTTAAAATGTAGCTTTCTGTAGGGAATTTATATAGGAATTGAATGTGTGTCTTTGGTCATGCACTAAAAAGAATGTTAAATTTTATTTAATATACATTTTATCAGTTCTGATATTTTAGATTCCTAATCTATTTAAACCTAGCAAGAAAGAAAACCACAAGATTTATGAAGGGCTATTACTACAATTTATGTCCTTTTATGTTTTTGCATGGAGATATGATTTTTTTTTTTATTATGTTTGTGAATTTTGAGGTGGAGGATTTACTGAAGGTTAGACATTAGGCTGGGCACAAAGCCAACCATAGAACTCAGGGGTCCTCTTGGCCCCATCCTTTTGTTGTTTATTTACCATGAAATTTGAGCTTTAGTATGTTTAGTATGACACTGCTTCCTATAGTAATTTCTGAAAATGCTAATGTGTGTAATTTCTAATTCTTAGGCCAATTTCTTTTGGAGCAGATTGCTTTGAAAAATGACATGGTGCAACCATCAGAAGGTGAAACAGTCTGCCCAGTTAGATATGAGGAGACCATGACTGGTGATGAGGATGAAGATTTCCAGTTCTCAAATCTGATGGATCGGCTTGGAGCCACAAAGGTTTTGGATGAGTAAGTTCTCACAGCAATAGTAATCATTTGTATGACCTTTTATGATTGATCTCTGGGTTTGATTTCAATGGAATCCAAGATGAATAGCGAGGGCAAAAGCTGCTCAAAACCATGGAGTTTTTTCTTAAAAAATGAATTTTCATGCTGTCAGGATAAAATGCCATTTGACCAAAATTTCCAAGAGCAAAACTGTTTTACTCCAGGCACATGAAACGCATTTTTCTGCCATGTGAAAGCTGTACCACTTGATGTGCCATGGGATCTGAACGTAGATAATTACAAGCATGTAATGCACAGATGTCACTGATTTTCAGTCAATGCCTGATGACTGCTATTTTTGGCAAGGGCTGTGTTTAAAGTGCACCATAAGTAGGGAAGTTTTCTTCACTTTTTCTGCTTTTTCTCCTCTTCATGCATAATTGCATGTTGTGATTGCTCTGGTAATGCTACTTCTTCCAAGGCCAGGATAGCTCACTCTGAAACATGGAGCATAAAACCTGCTCAAAGAGCTTTTTGTGTGCTGTCCTCACATTCATTGGACAACCACAATGAATACTGTTGAGCAGAAAGAAGCATCAGGCAAAAATGGGAGAGAATCTGGACAAGTGGTACAAATATTTAAGAAATACATTGGTGATTGTTGCTATGGAATAGAAGTGCTCATCAGTCCTTCTCTTCCCCTGACTGCCTTTTCCATGAAACAGTTCATTGTCAGTCATCCTGAAAGGCTTTCATTATGAAGAGATATTTATCACCCACTTTTTCTATCCTTATCCTCATTTTGTCCTTTAAATGCAGCACTCTTTGCTGGCTAGGTTAGGCTTGCAATGCTCATGGAAAAGAGTGAGTCAGGAAGAAACAAAGTGGTTCAGGAGAATATTGATAAAGTATTAGAAACCCATTATCATTCACAATAGAGCTGTCAGTGTCTTCTGAACAGATTTGGAAACATAACATTATCTTGGTAAATCTCTAAATCAAAATTTCAAGGAGTTTAGTTCTGCTTTTTGTAGCAGACTCGCCATGGAATAAAAATGTAACAAGAATGAAAGAATGCGGTACAAATGCAATTTGTTAATATATCTGTGTTATCTAGGAGTCTGAATCTCATTCATTTCTTATGAGGAAGGGGTTTTGATTAGCTTTTCTATTGCCCCCTCCCCTCTAGATCTGTGGGAACTTCTTTACTTCTAATAGAAGTGATGGGAGGGCATAGTCTATCTCATCTGTCTCCTTTCTTACCCATTCCTGTTAAGGTGGAGTGTCTAGCAAGGCACCCACTAAGGAAGTAGTTCCTGTGCTATTCTGCAGTCAGGAATGGCCAGATGTTATAATGCATTTTTTTGAATAAATTCAATCTCCATCATTTCCCACCCCCTCATCCTTTTCATGATGGCACAGTTCAAGTTGTTTTTAATAAGTTTTGTGTTCTGACTAGTGATGCCCTGAAGCCTCCATCTACTAAGGGTGCTAAAGACATTTACTGGGAAATGTTCTCTCTTAATGAATGCTTTATGATCTTTTCTTTCAGTGAGACTGATGTGAAGCAAATTTGGTTGCAGCTAAGAAAAGAAGAACCTCATTTACTTTCCAATTTTGAAGAGTTCCTGGTCAGAATTTTTTCCCAGCTCAAAGAAGCAGATAATGAGAAGAATGAGTTGGAATGGGCTCTAAAAAAGTTAGTATTTCTCTTTGTTAGACTGCTTGTGTAGGTTTACAGCTATTTTACCTGCTAGTTGAACTTCTGAAATAAACAAGGTATTTCAGTGGAGATCTAAGGACAGGACTTTGCATAATGTGAAATTTCCCATAATGTTAATTTAATCAGGCATTAAGACTACTGGTAATACTATTATATGGCAGAATTGAATTAAATTAGCTTTTCTCTTCTGGTTAAGATTTTATTGACTGAAATTCTTTTGCAGATATCTGTTATTGCATTGAAGTTTTAAGATAATATTGAGTGATTCCAATCTAGTTAATCAGTTTGATTCCAAAGGGAAGCTGTATTTAACAGTAAATCTGGTAAATTGTCTGTGTGCTTTGCAAGCATTGCATGCAGAAAAGCTATAAACCTGGATTAACTGACCAGAGACATAAGAGGTTTAAGATGTTAGAGCAGCACAAAGCACTGATACTTGTGAAAATGTAAACTAACAAATATATATATAAAGCAAACGTATGAAATATAGTAAATAACATGTATATTTTATCTATAAAACATATAAAATGTTTTAATAATAGTTTATTAATGTTGTAAACAAATACATAAGATGCACATATAAAAATATGTATAAGAACAAAAAAAATTAGATCATTCTTTTATATGTATTTATCTAGAGGGAGAAAAGTTGTGGTGCTAAATCTTAACAAAATACAATATTATGCATGTAGTTGAAGTCCCACTGCATTTTTATTTTAAAGTGTGAATTCTGAATTTTAGATTCTTACAGACTGAGCAATAAAGGCAAATATTGTTGAAAAAAGCAAACTGTTGAAAATTTACTTATTTTGTTCATTTGTTACTATTCTGAGAATGTGACAAGGCTTATGAAGAAGGAAAAAACCTGAAAATCTATGATTGTTAAAGATGATAATAATGATGATGATGATGATTATTATTATTATTATATTGGTAGTAGCATTTTCAGCAAAGTCCCTGTGTGCGGTTTTAGCATTCAGACAGCTAGAAACAGCATATAGAGAGTTTTGCTCTCTATTTTAGACTAGAGATTGTTAACTACCATGTGTGGTGAGAGGCTTGCTCTGTGGGTTTTTTTAGTGTTTCTTTGTGAGTGTTTTTTTGGGAACTGAATGAATAAATGTGTCTGTTTAATAGCTCTGATCAATGCAGAGGTGTACATAGAGTACATTAGCATTATCTTTTCTGGCTGATGTGAAGTCGCTGCGTTGAAAGTGCATTGGGTTTTTATGCCTTTGTAGTAAAAACATGTTTTAGCTAATTTCTTCTTTTTGTTGCTCCTGATAGCACCACTGATTTCAGGATGTTGATTGTTGTTTTGTTTGTAATCAACTGCTGGAAGGAATCAGAGTAGTAATGTCTTTGGTAGTAACAGTGGGGATGAATAACCTGTTTCTTTTAAACTATGTATGAATAACAGCAAAGCTCAAGGCAGCACCATATAGGGGAGAAGATTAATTTGTTTTTTTAATACCCACATACTTACTAGCACTAGGACATATGTATCTGCAGAGACTGGCCAGGATTTACTGTGGGGTCACAGAAGAGAAAGGATGCTGGGTTTTGAGGTCTTATAATGTCTACTGCATTGTTCTTGATTGGTGACAATAATACTTTTTTGAAATTGAATATGAATTTTATCTTTCATCTTTCCTTCCTTCCTCTTTCTTTCCTGACTCACCTCCGTGAGTCATTAGGCAATAAGGCAGTCTACTCAGCTTTTGTCTCCTTTCCTGGGTGTGGGCTGTGCTTTTGTCTTCAATTTTTTCTTTTTCTTCTATCCTGGATGCCCTGAGAAGCTTCATGTCTGTGTGCTGGGGACTTCATGCCATAAAAATCTATACTCTTCACCTGTGATGTTCTTCTCTACCTTTTTTTTGGTCTTTTCCTCTGTATCTTTCACATCTGCACATTTTCATTCTTGAGCCTGTGTCCCATGGTCTAAGAGATCTGGGAGTTTCCTCCTGTTCTGGTTCAATTGATCCAGTAGGCCAGTAGGTTGCTGCTGTTCCTGTTTGTAGGTCCAGGCAGCAGTGAGGCTGAACATATATTCTCAATAAACAAACATGCAAATACAGCACACATGGCGGGCTGTGCAGGTTAACACTGTTGTAGCTAGAGAGGAAAAAAAAAAAAAAAAAAAAGGATTTTAAATCTAAACCAAATGTGATTTTGTGGGTTTATTTGCCAGGGTAGGTTAGTTCTCCTTGATTTTTGGTATTTGTGTTCATTTTAAATGCTAGCTTAAAATCAGATGTCTTCTTAAGCATAGTAGTAGTGGTTTTTAAAGTAATAGGGTGATATACTGAGCACCCAAAAAAAGCAGAGATGAACATCAGGCAGAGAAAATAAAATAAAATCATGCTTATGTGATGGGCAATTACAATTCCAGAGGAAGCCCATGGGGGCACTGCAGAGAGCTTCCCAAAATCAGCCAAAAGGGCCCTGTAAAATTGCTGGGCACTAGCAGGGAGAGTAGTGAGCATGTGGCAAAGCATGATTTTGCCACTACATGGACTCTTAGTGTGCCCGTGTCCCGGGTGCACTGTGGGAAGTTCTGGTCTCTGCAACACAGGAAGAGTGTAGTGGGATGAGGAAAAGTGCAGGGAATGGCAACTCAGTGGTTAAAGCAGTAGAACAGCTATTCTGGGAGAGCTATTTTTAAAAGGTCCTATCTCTTGAATGAGGAGGCAAAGGCTGGAGTGGAATATGACAGACCTTGTTATTCTTCAAATCCCTGGCAGTAGAACCAAGGGGCTTTTAATAAGACTGATAGGAAGTAAGCCTAAAAGAGACGAGAAAGACCTTTTTTTCTAATAGCAGATAAAATCTTCAACTGCCATTAGCTCTGTCTGCTGCTGTGCTTTGCATTTGAAGGACAAACCTAATAAAAATGTGGGTTCTAAACAGGCAAGATAAACAAAAGGGTAAAGGGGGAGGGAAGGATGAACTGACTTCTAACTGGGCTTAGCATGGGGTAGTGTCAGAATCCATCTTTGTGGAAGAAGAGGAGAATCAGCATCGCAGGAGATTAGTTCACACTGTGCACAGATCACTGTATTTTTTTTAAGGCGAAGGAACCATTATGACAAAATGCACAGAAAGCAGTTATGAAATCAAAACAATTCACATTGCAGCTACATGAATGGGCAGAAATTAAACCCTTGTAAGTTGTTGATCCTGAATTTATCATCTGAACTTAGTGAACTCATGCTACATTTGATCTGCTTTCGTCTCCATCTGTTTGTTCTACAGTGTTACTGAAAAGAGAGACTACGTTATCAAATATAGCTGAAATTATAAAATTATGTGTTAAGTAAAACTTGAAGGTGTAATCTAAGGGAATAGAAAAACATGTCACATTTTTCACATAATGATGTATCTTTATCGATTCATTTTTTTTTCTCCTGAATATATGTGAAGAATATTTGACAGCTAATGTATTTGATTATTTTTTCTTCTGCTTGTTAGTTATTTTACTTATAATTGTTAGACTTTTGATTATGAGGGGATATTATTTTCCCCTTCTGTTTAATTTGATCAGAGATAAGAATGGAAATCCATGAATGAAATGCTTGGAGTGTATTCAGCCTGTAGAAATGGCATGTGCGTATGTGCCAGACCAACTGAAAAGATTCCTACATTCAGCAGTGCCTTCAGGATGTAGTCTTCATGGTGCTACCATATCCTTTGCTTCCAAACACATAAGAGGAAAGAAATACCTAAATCAGCAAGTTAAAACACAGGACTAAAGTTATTCTCCCTGCCACACAGAAGCCCAGAAAATCTTTATGATTCCCATGGAAACACTGACTGCTGTGCAATGTGTTCTGCCTCTGCAAAGTTACAGGGCTTTTCAGCACTCAGTCTAGTGCTGGTCAAAGTGACATTATACTGCGTGAATACAGTAGGTGTATGATTTTAGCATCTCTGCCATGCCTAAGTAGGTATTATTTCTCTATGAATTAGTGCAATTTGATTACATTGATGAGCGCTAATTTAAGAAATTAGCATTTCCTTAGTTTCAAGAGAATAATTTGAGATCAGAACATGACCCATCTTTACAGTGTAAGGGGAGTAAAGCAGCAAAAAGGATTTTCTGGCACTCTCTAGTTGAAATATTGGTGGCAGAGGCCCTTTTGGGGCCTGATTTTCTCACCTAGTCAGAGTTTACAAAAGTCTAAATGACAGCCATTGTTTTCCTCCAATTCTTGTAGCTTGAGAGTTGTTTATTGCTTCTGTAAATCCTGGGAAAATGTCTCACTTTTTTTTACCTCTGACCAAAAAAGCAAGCTGCCAGTGTCAGGTGTTCTGCTGTTGAAAGGGGAATAGACAGACTTGTTTCTGGTTTTACTCACTCTTCTTAGATTAGGTAAAGTTTTTGGAATTTTCTTTAAAATTGGCTTTGTTTTAAATGAGAAGAGCCCCAGGCCTTCAATAAGAGAAAACGTAGAATATGTTGAACATTAAGTAAAAAAACAAAACCAAAAAAAAACCCAGTAGACCCAAAATAAATGTTGCGATTTTTGCTGCTGAGTGCTCCTTGTCTTGCTTTTGCTGATGTGAATGCCCTTGAAGATTCTGTACTTTATTTGTAACAGATGCATTATGCAGATTGCTCAAGGAACAGCTATGGCAGGAAGAATATGGGGGAATATACAGTACTGTCAGATAAAGGTCCTAATAATCTGTATAATTTTTATTTTTTTTAGGATGTCCCCTGAGTTTGATACAAAGAGATTTTTGGTTTTCAGTGTCTGGACTAATGAACATAGAATAGAATAGTAGCAGAACAAAGCAGATATCTTGTTTCCTGTCACCAGTTAAATTTTTTCTGTCCAAGCTACAGCATTTGCTCCATGTAATCCTTCATGGATCAAACTGCAGTGATAGAAATTGCAATATTCTACTAGAAAAAAGTGAACTTTGTATGTTCTTCTTATTTTTTCCTACAGTTGTATAGACTTGTGTGCAGCATATTTATTTCTGTTCCTTGTCTGGGCTTTTCAAATTTGTTACAGCAAAGAAGTTAGAAAGGCAGTAAGGCTGTTTTCAAGAAGGTCTTTCAAGAATTCTAGCTAATGTGTCTTAGATAGAAGTACCTCATTCAGTACCCTTGAATGGGCAACAGTGCAGGCCAAGAGTAAAAAAAAAAAAGGAAGTTGCCATGAAAATAGTTTTAACTGTCAAATGTAGGCTCTGATAGCTTGGTATTGTCACTAGAAAACTCTCTTCCTTATATCTAAGATCTAGTGGTCATTAAAACTGCATCATGAACAGCTGCTTTGTATGGAAACCTCAGCTTTATATTAGCTTTTCAGTTATTGAAGCTTTACTTCCATGAGAAAGAAAAAATAAAATGTGAGCTTTGCTGCACAAAAATTTCTATTTCCTTGACACCAGAACATTCTTTGGAGTCTTGTGTTAAAGCAGAGTTGTGGAGCTTAGCTGGTAATGTGGGCCATGACTTGAAGAAATGCTACAAAGACCCACTCAGTGTGTTTTTATCTCTTATTAGGAAAATTGCTGCTTATGATGAAGAAATTCAACATCTCTATGAGGAAATGGAACAGCAAATCAAAAACGAGAAAGAGCAGTTTCTCTTGAAAGTGAGTGTCTGTGTTATAGTGGCTATGGATTCTGCTCCCCCTTTCAGTGGTTTTAAACTCATTCTGGGTGTGAAATTAAAGCCCACAAAATGTGTTTCACAACAGAGGAAGAAAATCTTCTTTTACCTCACAGCTACTTTTATGCTGTAGTTTCAAACTTTTAGTCCCTGCAGCTTCTATCTAAGTGACTTGTTGGATGAAGGAGCTGTGATGTCCTGTACTCAGTGGCTGGCATACAGCGCTGCTGGCATTATTTTGAAAGTCAGTTAAACTACAAACATTGTATTATTGGTGCTACTTCAGGTCCAGCTTCTGGTCACAATCAGGAAAAAACACTCTGTGAGGCTGTTCAGAGCAGCACCAATCCTGTTGACTTCTGCAGTCTTTACTTTTTGGGAGGGGATAACAACAAGAGATGAATCGAGTAATGGCAATTTGTGGAACAACCACAGGTTATTTGCAAAATAAACATGGGGCAGAATCTTTTGTCACTGCCATGTTGCTTCCAGAGCACCTGAAGATGAATTCCCTTTTCTTGGGAAGTCATCCTTAAATTTTCTCTGCTGTGTCCATAGTCTTGTCTTTGGATTTTTCTGTCCTGCTTTTTCTTGTAAAACAAGGAAACTAACAAGAACTTCCAGCATGCTCCAGGAAAGAGTCATCTTAGAATCATGTAGATGGGAAGGCGACGCCTTACTTCCTAACTAGATCAGGATGCTCAGGAACTTGGCCAACTGAGTTTTGAGTATTGAAATATTGGAGGTTCCACAGCTGCTCTGGGTGGCCTGGGGCAGTCAGTCATGAGCTACTGGCTCATCCCTTTTTGTTGTCTTGGCATGAGTCATGTAAGTGAAACAAATACAGGGTTTCAGCAATATGTGATAGAAATAGTTGCCAAAATAGTGGCTATTGCATCCATTCTCAATCAAGTATATATAAATATATCTAGACAATATAATCAAATATATCTAAAGCTTCCTTTTGTGATGTAAATATATCAAGTATTTTTTGTTTCCTGCCAGCCAAAATATGAGAAAAAGAAAAAGGGAAAAAAAAAGTGCCTTTTTCAGCTGTCTAAGGAATCATTCTTTTCACTTGCCTTCCAGGGTAGTGAACCTGACTCAAATTTTCAAGTTTTTTTCCATTACAAGCTGAGAGCAGTTTTTAGTGGTGGATGAGATGAAACCTTTAAATAAAGTTTGTATGTTGGCTGAAGGATAAAAAGTATTTGCAACTTTGCCTAGCAGAAGTTTTGTGGAAAAAATAGTTTATGTGCTCTTAATAGTCCACAACTGAAGTGTTACTGAAAACCCCCAAACAAAAAATACTTTTCCATAAGCAGTGATTGTTGGATCTCCTAATGAGTTGTATATTTGAGGTTAAGCCATTTCTTTCAGGCTTTTCATGAAAGCTTCCCACTCAAGCTATTTACAGTTTAGTCAGCAGTCACACTAAGGGCTGCCAGACACTCATGAAGTATTGTTTCTTTGCATGACTAATTTGAGATCTGGGGAGATCTGACTGTTAAATTCTTTCTCTAATGCAAAGTCTTACAAAGACTTTACAGCCTGGAGAGATGCATTGATGCCATATAAAAGGGAAATTATTGTGGCTTGAATGAAGAGCAGCTCTTGGAGAATACATTTAAAGAAATTGGTAAGATGCAAATAAGTACAAAGTGTAGCTATTTACAATACTTAATACCCTGCTGAGTGAATGTTACACAAAACAGGGGCAGTAAGTCTTTTTTTCACTTGTATACATATTCTTCCCCAGAAAGACCCAGTTATCATGTATTTGACTAACCCATTACATGTACTGCTTAAGGGAAAACACTTGTAAGAACCACTACTGTCTTGAGGGAGTTTTAATTTTTGTTTAGAGGCATTTTCCTGGGGACCTTAGAGAGTAGGAGCCTGGTTTTGGAGAAACAGGACAGATTCTCAGCTGATACAAACTACTGGAACCTGATTTTACTCAGGAGAGGGCTGACAATTTTTCTCAGTTGAGGAGTGTCAGAAGGAGTAATCCAAATGAGACTGGAAGTTCCCAGTGACTGCAGGATACTTAGCTAGTGGACAGGTTAATATAATTGCTAAGTGAAAGGCAGAGCTTGAAGCCCCAGTTGCTTTTTTATACCAGTGGAACATCTGTGAAAAGTTGTTAGTTAAGGATTTGAAGCGTGGCAGTTTTTGTTTCTTTCACATCAACCTGAGTTGCTTCAGCTGGAAATAAGAAGATACGTTCTGGCTCATTGATTTAAACTGGATAATCTCCTCAGCCTCCTGCCTGAGATGTCTGCCTCCACTTTCTAGACTTGATACCTACTTGTGTGCAATCAGCACATTCTGTAACAATGACAGTTGTGGAAACTGCTGGACTATAGCAGTTTAGAGATTCACAAGTGATACCATCCCTAACCTGAGTACTACCCGTGTATTGTTATATTCACTGTGGAAAGCTTCATCCTTGACTTGTTAATTCTCCTCCTGTAATGCAATTGTGCTGGTCTATTAATCCATTTCTTGAAATTTTGCAGGACACAGAGCGGTTTCAGTCCCACAGTCAAGAGCTGGAGTGCAAGCTTCTGTCAAAAGAACAAGAACTGGAACAGTTGGTTCAAAAGCAGAAAAGGGTACTAACTGATATCCTTCAGAGTTAAAAAATAGATAGCTCTTATTTGCTGATAGGATTTTCTTTAGGTACTATTTTAGGTCCCAAAGCTGCAAGTTGGTGTGATGTGGTTCTGCCAAATTGTGACCCTCTGTTGTTTTTGTGTCATGTGCTTAGAAAAAATGTTAACCTCTATTTCTAAAATAATTTCCTTTTATGTGGTAAAATGGAAAATAAATTAATGCTTTGGATAGTCTCCCCAGGTACTAGGTTAATTTTTATGAAAATGTAGCATAATTCCACTGCCTTCAGTGTTCTAGGAGCCGGTTTAACACACAGACAGCTTAAGAGCAGAGAACAATGATTTGGCTCTTCTAGTGCACACCTCTGCTCAAAGCCTGTACCAGCTACTCATTTACTTGTTTTGGACTGATTCAGCACTATGAACTTGAAATACTCCCTTCTGAACAACTTGCTCCTGATATATCTCTGTGATAACAGTTTTATAGTAGTGCATGTTTCCCTTGAATTGGTAACAGCTTGTCAAGTTCCCATATTAAAACCTGATGTGTTTTACTTCTAAAATGCATGGCCTGCTTGAGGCAGCAGAGAACTTGCGGTAAAGTGGCTCCAAGGTCATTGCAGGAAAGACTAGCAATAGGAAAAGGAGGTAACACTGGGATTTAAAGGGCTGAAATGGAATGCTGTAAACGCAATTCCCTCTGTAGAATATGAATATGTGGACAAAAAGAAGAAAGTTTTTCACAATGAGAACCATTAGCCATTGCAATAAGCTTCTTGGGGAAGCGGTGGATGCCCTAACATTGGGCACTAAAGATTTAGCTGGGTCAACTTGCTAAACTGTGTTTTTGCCAAAAAAGGTTGGAACAGATGAACATTGAGTTGCCCTTCCAACCTGGTACTCTGTGGTTCTGTGAAGTTTAGCTGATAAGGATATAAGACTGAGCTAAAAGTCTGTTCCATAGTCGAAATCAACTGTCTGATGTTAATCACCCTTGTCCAGTAACACTGTGAATAAGAATATATGTGGCTTTATGCAGGCTCTTTACCACATTGCAGCACTATAGTGGAATAATCTTTACTTTGAAGATATCCGTTGAGGCACACAGATCAGGCATTTTTAGTCTGAAACTAAATGCAAAAGGATAAGAAATTCCTTATTCTAATTTTGTAAGGATTATATTTAATATTTTCCTTGGTTTTTGCTTTAAAGCTCTGTTTAAAACTTGGTTGTCAACCAGTAATTCTGTAAAAACTCTTCTTGTGTTTTTTTCAAGTGTGTGTTTTCTAAATTTGGTATAAAACCCACAGAAGCTATTCAAAGGCTTTCACTCAATTTTAAGCCTGGTATAATCAATCAATATAGACAACAATACTAGGAAGTCTTATCTTATGATTTTTGCCTACATTGCCATTGTCGACTATTGCCTATCTTGGAGAACATAAAACAATGTCTGTGCTATTTTTATTAGCATTATTTTTTAATCTGATTTTATGTTTTCCATTTCTATTTCTATTCACTACATTGCTTATTATTAATAGTATTACTGTGGTGTTTTTTGTTATTGTTCTGTTGGTTTTTGGGGTTTTTTTTCTTGTTTGATTGGGTTTTTTTGTTTGTTTTTTTTAAATTTCTATTGTTTTTCATTTCCCCTCTCCATTATGAATTTGCATGAATCACAACAAGGGTGCTTTTGAAAGACAAGATCTTCAAATACTGTAAAGATTAAACTATCCCATTTTGGTTTTATGGAAAGGAAACAGTGTTGGATGTATAGAATTCACAATTTCTAATGATGAGATGAGTGACATAATTTCATTCAGATGATTGATACAACTGAAACTATTGTTATTCAACCAGCTGATTGGCCCATTGTTAATCTGATATGCAGTATTTGATGGTTATTTTTTTCTGGTATACCAACCTAGACTATTTATTTGAGTGCTTTACTCAGTGTAGTTAGAAGCACTGTTCTCTGCATATATTTTTCTGATTTCTAATGATCTTCTCTGAAAGCAAGTCTTGTCTTTAGTCAGATCTGTTTCTGTAATACTATGTCCCCCACTCATTTTCTGTTATTGCTTTTCATTCACTGAGATACCCATGTGTGGTGTCTAATCTTTGCCTTAACCAGAGATCTCTTTTACTTTTTCCTCCTCCTCTGGCATGGAAATATACTTTGATAATTAAATCTCTTCTTGCAGACAGTAAAGGTAGTTTGATTTAATTAGGACTTCTATGCTTGGTTGTATGAGAGAACCTCTTGGGAGCAACACAAATGCTTTTTTCCAAACTTTGTTAATAAATTTATTTTTTTTTAATGTTTAAATTTAGAATGCAATGTAATTATTTCTGTGTTGGAAATCATTAACAAAAATGTAAAAGAGAGCTTTCAAACCAGAAGAGCTCAGCATTGTTTCCTCTGACATAGCCAGAGGGATTCTCCCTTATGAAGGTTCTCTGGCTGGCATTGTTCCTCAAGGGATGTAAGTTGGAACATCTCAGGAGGAGGCACTGGGGGCAGAGGATATCCAGCATAACCTCTAGGGCACAGGCTCCTATGCAAGGGGAAGAAAGAAGGTGTGGACCAGGTGAAATGCAGGGGAGTTACTGGACTTCTCACATAAAATGCTAGGCTCTGTGCCGATGACAGCCACTGAAGAGCATGATCCTGGAACAGGAATGAGATGCATGAAAATTCCTCAAGTAGGACTCAAGTGCTTATAACTGCCTTATGGCACTGTATAAATGTTTCATCTTTCACATGCTACTGATATAAATAGGGAGAAAAAAATGTAAAAGCTACAGAAAGGATGCTGAACTAATAATAAGGGATTGCATGGGGAGTGCTCAATGTGTGTGTCTTTCAGGGACACTAATAAATGTCTTCAGCAACAGCTCATTTGCATTGGATAATCCCAGTTCTTTATTCAACTTAAACTTGGTTTTCCTCTCATCTTTGTCAAACAAAGAGAATATGCACCATCAACTACCATGTCTGTGCTTGACCTGTGGAAATTGATTAATTCTCTCTGCTATTCAAATTCTCTTAGACGTGTTTATGGGCCATGAGTCTTTTCCCCATCAGTTTCCATCTACCAGATGAACATAGGAGCCAATTTGCCACTCCAATAAGCAGCTAGAAGCTATAGGATCTATGTCATTCTATTACCAGCTGAGCACTCACCTAATGAGTTATTTCTCTGTATTGGGACTTGCTTAGATGAATGTTTTAAAGGTAGTGTTTGGCATTTCTCAAAGGATTGTATGGGTACAGTGGAAAAAGGGAGCCTTGTATTGATGTGAAACAATCCTTTCTCCTCTTGTTGTGTTCTGGGTTTAAGATGTTATATTATCATTTTTCTGACAAGCTTGAGCACCAGGATTTATAGCAAGTATTTCTAGCATCAGTATAGATGATTCTGGGAGCTGATGTTGGCTACCATTGCAGTTACATTTCCAGAACAGTCTCTGTGTAAGATTTCAGATGGTCATACTGTTCTCAAAGTGGGGTTTCTCTCTGCAGTTTGTTGCTCCTAAGATTTTTAAAAGTTCATCTTTGTGTGGTCACTTTTTGCTTCTCCCAAAGCCAGTCCTCTGGATGAGTCTTGTCTTAAATACCTGAAGCAGCTGGTCTTTTACTTAGAATGGATAACTTCATTCTGTTGAGGAGTGGAGGCAATATTCAGGAACTGATGTAATCTATCCATGTAAACCATTCTTGCTCAGCAGTAATCTGATGCCCAGCCACTGTTCCATGTGAAATGTGAGCCTGCTGAGGCTACAATTCAGCAAATACATTAAGCTGCTGCTGCTGCTACTGCTAAGTGCTCCCACTCTACATTTGTTCCTGACTTCTCACAGTCCAGGCTAGAAAGTATTTTCTGCTTTTGTTTTTAATCTGGGCCTTGTTCAAAACCAAGACTACAACAACAGCAGTGTTCTAGGGTAGGAACTGACTGGAAGAGCTGGGTGAGGACAGATTTTGGTTGGATGAGCTCTGCTTATTGGGATGGGCAAAATGGAAATTTTAATATTGTTATGTCTCAGATCCGAAAGATTGAAATGGTATCATTGTAATGCTCCCATTACGTTTTACATCCCTTAAAATGAATACAGAAAAAAAAACCCCAAAAACAAATAAAACTTTTATGTCCTAAGGTCAGCAATGCCTTCCCTAATACAAAGTTTTGCTCCATTTAAATTTGCTCAGTTATCCAGGGAGAAGCAGGCAGAACTTCTTTATGTACCAGAAACCACTATCATCCTTGTTACTTGTTTTACAGGGAAGTTATATTTTTCCTTTGATGTACATTGGAGAGGGAATATAAAACTGAATTAAAAGGCTCTAATTCACACTTCTTGGCAGATCTGTCTGAGGTGGCAAAAAGGTCACTGCTTGTTCATATTGCTTGGGGTAGGAAAGTTTATCAGCTATCAGACTTAAATCTAACAGTTTTTAGGTAGAATTCTGAATCACTCTGTGTAGGCCTGATCCTTGTGGAAAATGGTCTAAAATAGCAGTTGTGAATATCAGCTTAATGCTGCTAATCTGCTCCGTAGCACCTTTTTTTTATGGTTTGTACTGGTGTGTTTTTGAACTGGATAAAATTCAGTCATAGAATGGAATGGCTTTGTTTTTGTGTAACATAATTATGTCTGTACAAAGAGCAGTGCAAGAGCACCATGGTGTTTTATTCATTTTTTGGCTTTGGTAGAAATAGCTCCCTGCTCAGCTAACCTCTAAGACCCAAATTGAAAGCCTTAAAACCAAGATGCCTCAGTCAGTTGTAATGCTTTCTGTTCTCTTTTCTTTCACCCCAGTTAGAGCATCAGTGTACACAGCTCCTCAGTGGCAAAGAAGAAACCAAAGTAGAGAACACCAAGCTGAAGCTGACTAACCAGGAGCTGCTGAGAGACCTGGAGAGAACATCCCATGAACTAAGCCTGGCTCAACAACAGCTACAGGTGCTTCAGGAGGAGGCATCAAGGCTCCACGACGAGAAGGAAATGTAAGTGTACAGCTGCAGCAGTTCTAGTCCAGTTGATTGGTGTGGCAGTGAGCCTCCTCAGGGTACCCAGTGCTGTGATTTAAACTTCTGTCATAAGCAGAAACAACCTGCAAGGCTGAGTGCAGTTCTAGCTGCTTTCCCCCATGTAATTCAGCATGTTTTCTGTGGCATATCTGGCTTTTATGGAATATTTTTCTACATGTTCAAAATATCAGTGTTCTCTCCACTGCCATTGGTTAAGGTATTTGGAATTAAAAATCCGTGGAGTGTCTTAGTTTAGAAATACCAGTGGAATGCCTTACAGTTGAGGCACATGATACTTCATCCTCCTTGAAGATGAGTCTATCTGAAACTTGCTTCTCAGAATGCACTCTGACTGTGAGATACCTAGGATCTTCTTTTTTCCTTTATCAAAAGTAAGCCTGGTAAGGCCCCAAGATGAAACTTAGCTTATCCCAATTCCCACAAGGCCTTATGGCAATTCAGAACCATAATTTTGGGGTTTCCAATGTTAAAATGTTGAAGTTTTCATATTCTGACTCTGAATTACCAAAAAAAAAAAGGATAAATATTTATGGTTCATATTCTGAGGGATAAAAATTACCTGTGACAGATCAAGCTACCTGTCTTGCTCCAGTCTTCTGCACAAAGCAGAAGAATCACTACCCTGAAGCTGTAATTGGCAGAGATGTTCACTGAAGTCCATTTTAAATAAAATGCTCAGGGATCTGTAGAAGCCTCTCATTGCCAGCGGAGAGCACATGAATGACAGATGGACCTAGCCATTGCAGCAATGGATTATATAATTCAGAGCTGTTGCTGTCTGGCATATTTCAGGATTGAACATTAGTTCAAATGGAACATTCTTTTTCTCTTAAGCTTCATGCCTGCTAACCAAGCTCTACTTGGTTATTACTTCTTTAATTTCTCGAGGGTATAAATAATGAACTTTGTTGATAAGTTAGTGTTAAAGAATGGCCACCATGATCTACAATTTTTAGGTTTGCATGTTTGATGTGTTTTGGAAGTAGACAGTAGAAATACTCTTCCTCAAGGTGGTTTGTTTCCTCTTTGAGGCCTCTCTTTTCAGATCCAGAGCAAAGACTATGGAATGATCTGATTTAAAAGCTACAAAGGAAATCTGCCCAGTGGTCAGACTGCTGAATAATACTACTGCACTTACAAAGCACTTTGGATTCAATAGTGGTTTATGGAATTAGAGCTCAGCCCTACTCAACTGCACCTGCAGTGTTGCTTTAAACATCTGTATCAGTCTGGTAAGACCTGAGCTGTTGAAGCAGGTGTTATGCTCAGACAGTGCACAGGAAGAATGAAACTTGGGTTTCACTGAAAGGCAAAAAAACCCATTTAAGGCCAGACACCAAATCGTGTTAAATCAAAGTAAATGGTGTTAAAATGGCTGTATAAGTGTCAGGAATTGGAAAAAAATTGTAGGCATTGTAGATGTGTGAGCCTGACATATGGTTGCTGCAGCAGGATAAGCTCTAATTTTGGATAAAATGTCACCTGTTTTTTAGTGGCCAGAGTGAGAAGTATTTCAGAAGTGTATCTTTTCTGAATGTTCCAAGTGCCATTATCAACATATATTAAGCTCTCTGGATGAAGAAATTAAAAAGCAATATTTTTTGAAAAAAGAACCTCTACTCCTTCCTCTGCTGACTTGTACTGCTGTGCTACTGTGGGCCTTATACTGAATAAACTTTATTAAAATATTAACTGTTCATGCAGAATAGAATCTAAAGGTTTGAAGAAGCTGGGGTCTCAAATGTAGATACCCTTAAGGGAAGCATTTTAGCAGTGTTCTTACCATCGTTAGAACAATTTTACAATTTTTTTCTCTTTTGCAGGGAGGTGTACCGGGTGACAGAAGCCTTACAGAGAGAGAAGTCAGGACTTTTGAAGCAGCTGGATTTTTTAAGGTAATGTAGATCTTCCATTCAAAAACTTCTTATATAATTCTAAAGAGGTCCATTATAGGATGAAATTATGTTGGGACATGTAGTGAGTGTAGGTGTTGAGGTGTTGACAGGAGTGTCACAGGGGCAGCCTCTGTGGCAGAGAGAAGCTGGGGCTAGCCTTTAATCCTGGACACAGCACAGAACACAGTGGAGCCCCACAGCCCCAGTGGGCCTCAGGGAAAGCCTCAGTAAGAAAGGGTGGAAAACAGGGCAGCAGCTAGCTGGGAGAGAAGAGAGAAAAGAGAAAAACAGTGTATCAGAAAGCCCTTCAGACACCAAGGTCAGTGAAGGAAGGGTAGAAGGTGCTCCAGGCACTGCTGGAGCAGAGTCCCTTGTAGCCTTTACAGAGTCCGCACAAGAGCCAACTCCTGGCAGGAGCTTGGTCCATGGAGAGGAGCCCATGGAGGGGCAGGTTTTCTGGCTGGAATTGTGGTCCATGGGGGACCTACACTGGAGCAGTCCATTCCTGAGAGACTATTCCTGTGGAAATAATCTGTGCTGGATTTTGTGAAGGACTGTAACCTGTGTGAGGGAACTCACACTGGAGCAAGAAAACTGTGTGAGGAGGGAGGAGCTGCAGAGAGAAGCTGTTATGGACTGACCACCAACCCCACTATTCCCCATCCCCTTGTGCCACTCAGGATTGGTAAGGAGGTAGAAGAGCTGAGGGTATAGGAATGAAGTTGAGCCTGAGAGGAGGGGGAATTTTGGAGAAGGTGATTTTAGTTTTGTCTCTATTTCTCATCATCCTACAATGAGTCTGTTTCGTCTGTAGTGGGTAGCTGGTAAGTAACCTTCTTGTCTATATTTTGGCCCACAGGCTTTCCCATTTCCCACTTATCTTCCCTTGTGTTGAGGAAGGAGAGTGAGAGAGTGGCTGGGTGTATATCTGACAGCCAGTCAACGTCAGCTGCCACAGGCTAGTGACACAAAAATAGTAAAAATGGTTACAAAAGACTTTGGTATGCTCAGTTCTTACATAGTGTAGAGGGCAGCACACCTGAAAGATATGCTTCATTTTGGCAATTCAATATTGTAGGATAATCTCCTTTCCAAAAGTCAGATGTGGAACAGAACAGCATTGAACTAAGCTGATTCTGAGGCAGAAGCCTGGCTGCAGGAGCTTGCTGAAAGGCTCTGTTGCTTCTCAAGGGCTGGGAGCTGAGCCAAAATGAAGACCATTTCCCCAAAATATTTGTAAAATGATACCAAAATGTACTTAGCTATCATTCCTTTATTGATAGACTTCGAAGTTTGGAGCTGTGTTCAGACAACTGTAGCCCTCCTTTTAATGTGCAGCAGTGTTGGGTTTTGTTTGCTCAGTGGTCAGTCAGCATGGGCTGCAGGTTGCACCTGCCCCTAGGCCTTCATTGGCTGCATTTCCTTCTGGAGGCCTCATTTTAAAGTTGCCTAAAAATTTTACTTGAGGCTTGAGGAAAGGCTCTTATTTTGCAGTGTGCGTTTTCCCTAGGCCACTCTGTGATCTTGCCTGCTGCAAGTTTTGGGGACATAGACATCTGGCAACAGAGGTTGTTTCCATTCACCCTGGCTGCTCAGTCTCTCCTGCAACCAGGCCAGCAACAGATGGAGACAATAGATGATGTACAAAGCAGGTGTGCTGTCAGGTCTGATCAGAGCTTGCTGATTGCCTGGAGTGTCTGTTTCTTGACACTTTCATTGTTTCTGCACAAAGGATGGAAGACGGATGTTTTCCTAGGGTGACTTTTCCATGGCAGCCACAACTGCAGGCCTCAGAGGGCCATAGTTGGCCTTCCCAGCTGTCACCAGATGAACAAGAGATGGTGTTCATTGCACCCTCTCTACACTAAGAGGTCATGTTTACTGTGAAAATCATTAAACATTCTAACTTACAGTATGTGAAGGCGTATTGACCACAACTGATTTCTGTGTGTTAAGGCATTTGTTCAGATGAAATACAGAAAGAGATCCAGATCCCATCTGGCTTTAATCAGCATAGCCCTGCTGGAGAATCAATAGCTCAGACAAGGAACTGGCTGAGGTGAGATTATAAATAAAGGATGATGAAAGGTTTGCACTGCCAACTGTCCAGCCTGTCTGTTAGTGTGGAGTAGAAAAGTCAGCAGTTCTAAATATTTGGCTTCAGTGCTTCTTTTGTTTGTGTTGTCTTTGCAGAGAGAGGAACAAACATCTCAAGGATGAGCGTGACATATTTTTGCAGGTAACCAACTCTTATTTTCAAACCCAGTGTTGAGAAGACACATATGAGAACAGCTTCAAAAGAAGGGGAGCAGAAGGCTGTGCAGGAGATGGACTTTTGTGCCTCTTAAATCTTGTCCTATTCTTAATTCGTATTGTCTTTTTTTCTCACTTGTAAATTAAATTTTTTTTTTAATTCGCTGAACAATTTAAAGAGCTACGTGTTCGGAATTATAAAGTGGGAACTATCTGAAGAGAGATAAATGTATTTTAGAAGAAACTATGGATGCAATCATGAAAGGATGAAATAACCTAGAAATTGAATAATTAAATTGTTTTAATTTATTCAGTCAAGAGTGGGTAATATCCTGAAACATTTATACAACAGTACAAAACTGAGTACCTGGATCAGTACCTGAATACCTCTTTGGACTGGGGTAAGAGCAGATCCTATTAACTTTTTTAAGTAGCAGCAAATTACAGACTCGTAAGATGTTCTAGAAGCACCCTGGTGCAAGGAGACTAAGGCTGCTTAGTTTATATTTGCTTGTGTTCTTAGTCCTATGAGAAGCTGCTCGTGTAAAAAAATATCCATTTGCTTTTTTTTTTTCCCTGACATTGTGCTGTTTTATTTACAAAGCAGATGCATTTTTGCAGGATCTGGAGTTCCCTGTTCAGATTGTTTATCAGTTGGAATTCTGAAGCACTTACACCTCTAGGATTTTCTTCTACATTTTTTTCTTTCATTTGCATTGCATTATTTAAATATTCGGAATGGGGGTAGTTAACCATAATGAACATCAGAAGTAAATCGGTAAGAAGTATTCTGTATTTCTGCAGAAATGCAAAACAGCTGTTCCAAAAGCCAGCTGGAAGCAAAGATCAGGGTCTATCATTGGTAAATACATAGAAGGCAAGATGCTGCCTAACAGGTAGGAACTTTTTTTCATGTGTTTGAGTATGATGAGGCTTGTAGAAAGATGTGGAATACTTCCTTTCTGATGCTTTTGAACTTTTCAAAGTTTTTCACACTTACCTGTCATGATAAGATTACTGTGCTCATTAAGAAATTTGAAAACGAAGAGCCAAATTTTAACATAAAACAAATGTGCTGTCTGCAAAGGCAAGAGATTTCTCCACTGTGGATGGGTGCATGCTGGGAGACACAAAAACTTGCCCATGACTCCATGTTGATGTGGTACAATATTGAATCTCCACTTGCACTTTTTTTATCCATATTAAGCAAACCCATGTCCCTCCTATCCACTAAAGAGAGAATTAGATTGCACACAGGAAGGATCTCGCTTGGGGGGCTCTTTTATTCTTTCTGAATGGGAGTGGAAGGTGGTAAAGGAGAAAATCACAGTAGGGAAGTTTTCTTTAGCTCTTCTATGAGGTTAGAATTGATGTTAATCTAATGTTTTCCATTCTGGTTCAGGTTTCTCCTGTAAGTTATTAGCTTTCCATGATGCTTATAATTATCAATATATATACACATGGTGTGATGAGCTGACTTTTCAGCAGACACTAGAATGACTCTTCTCTGCCTGCTGTGACTAGTCAAAAACATGAGAGATTAAATTCAGTTATTCAGATTAAATTCAGAATAAAATAAAATTATACTTTTATGATGTACTTTCTTTTTTCCTTGTCTAGCCATTCATTTGAAGAAGATGATATTTTCAGTAACTCAAAGAGAAAGAATTCTGCTGGACTGAATGGAGTTCTCTCTGAAGAGCCTAATGCTGGAGTCACTGGAGGAATGCCTAAAACATCACATCTCCAAAGAATAATATCAATTGAAGAAGATCACCTACCCCATCTTCTTGACAGGCTGGTTGAAAAGCAGCTGAGCAGATGGACTGGAGAAGACGAAAATACTTTTGAGGCAGAAATGAATAACAAAGACAGAGAGCAAGCAGTGGAACACTCATCATCATCTTCTAGAGAGCAGCCTGTAGGGAAGGAAACACTGTCCAATGTAAGAGGACAAAGGAGACCTTACTTTGAGCAGTGTGAAGTTCTGGGCCCTATGATTTAAGGAGAATGTGAAGGTCCTTGGATGCATCCAGAGGAGGGCCACAAAGTTGGTGGGAGGTCTGGAAAGTGTGTCCTCTGAGGAGTGGCTGGGGGCTCTGGGTTTGTCCAGTTTGGAAAAACAGGCTGAGGGGCAACTCCCTTACTCTCTGCAGCTTCCTGAGGAGGGGAAGGGGACAGGGAGGTGCTGATCCCTTCTCCCGGAGATCCAGTGATAGGATGTGTGGGAATAGTTCAAAGCTGCCTCAGAGGAGGTGCAGACCTGACATTAGGAAGCATTTCTTTAGTGAGAGGGTGGTCAGACACAGGAATGGGCTTCCTAGGGAGGTGGTCCATGCCACAAATCTGTCAGTTTATAAGAGACTTTTTGATAATACTCTTTATAACATGCTTTAACTTTTGGTCAGCCCTAAAGTGATCAGGCAGTTGGACCAGGTCACTGTAGGTCCCATCCAACTGGAAGTCTTCTGTTCTCTTCTGTTCTATTCTCAAGGACCTTGGATGCCATGAAGTGGTGTCAAAGGTTAATGTGTTATTCCTAGTATATAAAATTATTTAGTTTTCTGTCTTTAAGTTGAAGTATAACAAATTAAGCCATTGCATGAAGTGGGGGACGAAAATGTACTGCAGACAAATGCTGAAGGTGTAAAGGGAAACAGCCTAAAGGACTGGTGACTGCAGACAATGTGTGCATAGATTTACATTTGAAGGACTGCTTAGGGAAAGTGAAGTTAAACCTTGTAATAGATGATGCAAGATCAGTGGAAGGTAGAAATTATCTTAAAAAAGAAGCAAGTATTTTTTTAAAAAAATTGGTTGTTTGGTTTTGGGTTATTTTTTTTTTTGGCCACAAGGTGATATTTCTCACATTCTGATATCTTTGAGTCAGCTTTTGTAGCTGTTACAATATCTGAGAAATAATGAGAGGAATATCATTGCTTTTTAATTATTTTTGAAAATACTTTTATTTAGCAAATTGAAATCCTATATTTTTTCAGCTATAGCTGGCATATGCATGTTAGGAATGAATTCACCATTCAGTAATAATCCTTAATGCAGTATGCTGGAAGGTACATTTCTTTGGAGTCTAAAGTTCTTTTTTGCATTGCCATTGCTTCAGAGCTAGCTGTGCTTGTTTTCTAATTTTAGAATCATTGTTAAGGATTACTCATTTTTAGATTCTTGAAGCACATATTAAAAAGATTAAAGTATAGGAAAAATTGGTTTGCTTGGTCATAATTATATAGTTCTTTTAGAAGAAGCAAGAATATCTTAAAAATTATGATAGAATTATGCCATGGTTACATAATAATTTCTAAGTGGTACTTTTAATAAAACATTAAGGGTACAGAAAAGAGCTTCATATTTTGAAATTCTTTAATTCAGTGCATGCTTTTTGCTTGCTGTGTGACTTATTTTGTATCACTGGACTTTAGGATGACAAAAGCCAGATAGCTCATCCTATCCAGATAGGACAAGCCTGTGTTGCCGGCCCTGTTCCAGCAGTCATGCCTCTTGAAAGCTCATCCTCTCATCTGGGTAGGAACTAGATCTTGTTTCTCATTATAACTAGTCTGTAATGGCTTTTGTGTGATATGGAATGTATGCATTCCATGATCTTATTGCTTACTGCATGGAACTCGGGCTCCTAGCTGCTGGCATTAAGCTTTCCTAATAACCATATATTCATAGTAGTTCAGTCCTGTATGATCTACTGCATCTTACAGGTGAGTAGGACCAATGCTGGCAGCAGTGCATGAGGCCAAGCAGCTGCTGTTTTATCTGGGAGCTGACAATCAGGTAGGGCATTTTTCTGAGTGGCTGTGAAGATGAAACTGCGGTTAACATTACCAGAAATGTCACTGAGAAAGCACCTGAAGGAACCCTAATGGGAATTAAAGCAAGATTTTCTGTCCAAAACTTCTGCATGAGATTCACTTCCTCTCCCCTCCGATCTTTCGATATGGAGTATTAACCACTATGTTTATGATCTCCCACAATATTGTTAAATGGTACAAAAGCTAGGCGTGTTACTTTACCTGGCTACTGTTTATATAAAGACTACTCAAAAGACACACCTTGGGAAGACTATTTCAGACTGCACTGTAAACTAAAATAAATTTTCATTCTACTGCTATTCCATTTTCCCATCAGCACTATGTTGAAGCAGACTATGGAGTACCTTATACCCCTGGCATAGTGTTCACATGCAGATTTATAACCACGTTTGATTATTAAGATTATTTTCATGACTGGACTTGATACGTCTCAGTGAAAAATGGCTTCTTATTGTGCTGGGAGTTGAGCTGAAGGCCTTCAGGGTCTTTGAGTCTTAGTGCTACTGGAGTGTGTGTGGCCACCAGGGACAAAGTATTTCAGGTCACGTATTCCATATATTTAGCTATGGTTCTCAGAATCACTGTGATAATACTGCCAAGCTGATGATTGTATGTTAGCTTGTTTTATTTCCCAGAGCACACAGACTAATAAGCTGGGAATGGTTTTCAGTGGGACTGAGAATGTGCTTTGTGTAAATGCATGCGTGCTGCTAGTAGTCTATAGCTGCAGTGGGGTTTAGAATTTTAATAGAAAAGGGAAATAAGAAAGTTCTCTATAATTGTGGCCCAGCTCATGAAAGAGATATGTGGTTTTTGTCCCCAAAATTTACAGTAGTGAATTAATTTTTTTTTCATGCAAAGGAAGACAGCAGCTCAAGCCTTCGTTGTCTGTGTTTTTTCCCCATCAAGAGAAAGTCTCTATTTCTGATTCTTTCTCTAAGACTTCTATATATTTGTAGAAAACATGTCCAAGTGTAGACTTCAATGTCTCATTCAAAGGACTGTCAGGCAGTGAATTCAGTTCTGACATCTTCATGAAGGAAGCAGTCTCATGGATCCTGTACACTGGCTCTTCCCTCCTTTCCCTCCTCTCCCTCCTCAAAACACACACTTTGGCAAACTAATGTCAGGGCCATCCATGATCTTGCTCCCCTTCTGCAGCATTCAAAACAAACTTTCTACCTCCCTGTGCCTTCATATTTACACAAAATAGAAGAGACCAGCAAGGGCACCCCCTGCAAACCAGCTGGTGCCAGAGTGCTTCCCTAAGCAACTCCTGATCAGCATACAAAAGAATGATGACCTACTTGATAGAGAATATAAATATTTTCTCCAGCATCCACTTAGCTTATCCTGCAGTAAATAGGACCTGGATAAGCAGAAGAAATTGTGGTTCCTTCTGCTTAAAAAGTGAAATGAGAGAAACATAGCCAAATGTTTACAGCCTGATTAACTGGTCTAATTCTCTCTCTCTTTCCTCCATGTTTCTGCCTGTAATGTTAAACAGATGTAGAAATGCAGTAATTGGATGGAAGTTCTTGGCTCTATGGTAGTAGCAGAGAGAAGAATCCGATGGCATAAGCCATTAAAAATGATGACTTTGCTTCTGTTATCTAGATGAAGATGTGCTGCTTTCTCTGTGTCACTGGTATAGGATGAAGCTACTGAGCAGAGCTCTGTGAAGTTTTATAGATTTTGATTTGTAGCCGTGAACATAAACTGTTTTATTTTGTCAGTTTAATGTAAAGGTTCATATTCAGTATACTTCCAGAGCTCAGTGCAAATCACTGCACTTCAGATGATCTGGAATGATGCATGGCAAACATCTGAAATGCTGAGTTATTTTAAGAAACAGAATATTGCTTCATGAGTAATGAAGAATATGATAGGATAAAATCTATTCTTTTCCCCATATCAGCCTTAAACTGGAGAGGCAACAGGATTTATAGAACAGTTGGAAGCTAATTTTTGCTCTTACTTGAAGGAGGAGAGAATAAACTCTGTCCCTGAGCGCTTATTCAAGATCATTTTTGTGGGCAATTCGAGTGTTGGAAAGACTTCATTTTTAAGAAGATTTTGTGAAGATCGTTTTTTTCCAGGCACAGCTGCTACTGTAGGTAAGTTTAACAATATAACTATTATTATTTTTGTTCTGACAGTACTTAACATTTTCTACTGAGATCAGGCCCTGTATTATAAAATGGAAACATACAGATGTTGTAAAAGTAGGACATGCAAAGTGAGTTCTCCTAAATTGGAAAGCACATAATTGATGGAGATGTTTCAGAGTAAGTTCTGTACTGAAATCCTGGCCAGCACTGAGATAAATCAGAAAATTTCTGGTGATTTCTGTGAAGCTAGAATTTCCTTGTAGATCTCACGGTTCTGAAACAGATATCCTGTCCTCTGGACTGTTCTGTACTAACAATTCCACTTTCATATCTCATTGCTATACCTCTAACTAATCTGATTTTGTTTTAGAGAGATAGTAGAGTATCTGAATCACCTATTTGAAGATTTAGCATTATACTAATAATGAAAAAAGTATGTCAGACCTGTGTTTCCAAAGCCAAAGTTTTCAAAGCCTACATTATTCTTACCTTGCCTGAAGGTGTAGACCAAGCTTTCAAAAGTCAGACACAAAATCAAGGTACAAAAACTCAGGTTATTGCAATGCAGCTGGGTTAAATTACCAGATTCCTTATGCTTAGCCTGCATTGAGGCTAAGCATAAGCATTGAGGCACTTATTCTGCAGCATATATGAAATAAAACTTACCTACTTCAAGATTAGCTTAGTAATGTCCTAGTTTTTCACCAACTGTGTCTTCATTAACTGGAAGGGGAGCTTAGACACCTGTCTGCAGTTGTTTGTTCATATATCCTATAGAACTAAAGGCTGTGTCCTGTCCATACTGCCCTGTAATTGGCTGATACACTTCTCTACACTTTGAGCTCTTACACTGTGTGTGCAATTTTCCACAGGAAAAACAATGAAAATAACTCAGAACTTTTTCCTCTTTTGGCTGGTCATCCAGGGTTCTTGCAAAGGAAATGGCAAGAAAGCATTTGTCATAGCTTTGATTTAGTGTTCACATCAATGGGTTTCACAGGTGAGGGCTATGGCTGGCAAGGTACAGACAATGGAAAAGTCAAGCGAACAATATGGAGAGGAGTGTTCTCAGTGAATTTCTACAGAATAGTTCAAATTTCTTCCCTTGAGGTACAGGCAGTATATACATCCTCCATACAGGTTTTTTAATTGCCTGTTGAAGGAATGCAGGCATAGATGCTTCTCCATTAATGCCACTTGTAAAAATCCCATTTTTGTGGAAAATGGCCCTAGAGATATTGTGCTGACCTACTGGGATCTCTTCTAACCTGTATTATTCAATGATTTTCAATGATATTCAGTGATTTTATGACACAGTTCAATGTGATACAAAAAAAAAAAATTCAAGTTGTCATTAGGAGGAGGTAGTGACTGATAAATGTTTATGACTCTAATTATTGTTATAAACATACAGAAAATAATTACATCTTCACAGGTTGGAAGAATAGGGAGATAATTAATTTAAAAGTTTAAATATTTAAAAGTTTAAATGAATTTTTATCTCTACTAACCTAAGTGAAGTGAGCTCATCTTCTATGTAATAAATAGGGAAAGAGGTTCTCCACATGTTTAGTCCACCTGTCTTCAGCATTTATCTTAGGTTCTACTGTTCCCTGTGCCATGCCTTGTGTTTTTTCACTAACTGAAGAAAGCTCTCATGTGGTTAGCTCAGACTAAACTAACACATTTCACACAACTGATGTTATACAGTGAATTCCAGGCTAAATGGCTTAGACTGCTGTGGACTTTCAAATGGACCATTGACTCACATTCTGTGATTTGAAAAGTGACTTATCTTGCATATTTTACAAAACTGAACTACTCTACTTCCATTCAGTATTTTATTGCTGGAGAACTTCAAGCAAATAAAAGCACTTGTCCTCTGATAGCTGGAGACTCTGGACGTAATTTTTAATGCAGTGTCTGTCTTTTTACTTTTCTGGAGTTGTTGCTGGATCCAGTTTTCAAAGATCAAACAGCTTGTAAAGAGACAGCTCACCTTGTGTTTGTGTTGCAGGTGTGGATTACAACGTGAGAACTGTCACAGTAGATCACACCCAGGTAGCGCTGCAGCTCTGGGACACAGCCGGCCAGGAACGGTGAGGAAGGTTCTCTTATGGTTCAGCCCTGGTAGTCAGCCCAGGTGTGGAGCTGCTCCCTCACTCCTTCATCTGCTGGGATGGAGGAGGGAATTGGAGGGGTGAAAGTGGCAAAACTCCTTGTTTAAAATAAAGACCGTATGATGAAATTTAACTCCATGCCTGTCAAAACCCGTATGCATTTTAAGGTCTCGCTTCATTGAATCATCTGTTTGACGATGTATTAAGTGCGGACCCAATCCTGCCAAGAAGCAGGAGGAACAAATATAGGAGCATTCCTAACAGAGCCAGTGGATTCACAGTTTAGCTCATTCCCTTGCAGCACTAATGTGCTGATTTGCTGCTATGTCCACTGCCAGTCTGTAAAAAAGATTCTTAATTAAGCTCTGAAAAGTTTAGTACCGCACTATTTCTTTAGGAGGAAGTCTGATTTTAAAATGCACCTAGAATTATTTCTATAGCAGAAAATACCTTAATAGATAAAAAAAAAGGTGTTTATTTTTTTACTAAAGCAATACCATTATAGTAGAACTCCAGGTTTTTGTAGGAGTTCAGTGGTAATTTCCTTCCCCATCTCCTCACCTATTGTGTAATTTTGTGTTACTAAAAGAAAGGATGATAATGATAATCCACATGAAGCTTGGAAAGAAGGTCTCCAAAAACCTAGCTAGCTTTAGAAGAGCACTTAGAGAAGGGAAATTTCTGCTCCAAGCTTAAAATTAAAGAGGTGAGAGTAAGTGAGATATGTAGCTAATTATCCAGCCTAACCCACAATCAGTTAAAGAAGGCAGGGGGAGCTTTTCCAAAAACTTTCTTTCAAAAAGTCCTTTTATTTTAATTTTTTTCTAAATAATTTATTTGCCTTTGCATGAAGGAATTACTATAAATTTTAACTTGTCAGATTGTTGCTTTTGTTGAAGAGAGCTTAACCAGATTCTTACTTGTAGGTACCGAAGCATTACCAAACAGTTTTTCAGAAAAGCTGATGGTGTCATTGTGATGTATGACATAACAGCAAAAGACACATTTACAGCTGTCAAGCAGTGGCTGATAAGCATTGAGGTAACTTGACATAACTTTAAATCTAAATCCTGGAGTCATTCTCTACCTTCTTCTGAACAAGGGCTGTTAACAGGGTAAAACAGAGAGCACCTTGTTTCTTGTGCTGTCACAAATATGTTTTTCTTGTGAGTATGGTCTGCACTGTTGCCAGTGAAGTTGTTTTTCATCTCTATTTCTGTGAAAAAAATATCATAGTTCCAGGGTTTTAAGGACTTTGAATGAGAGGTGGGAAAATCCCAGCATGAAGTGCTCTGATTTTTCATGAAGGGAGCTACACTGATGACCCCAACTGGATCACAGCTAGCACTGAGAGGTGTTTTGGATCAGTGATAGTGAGCTGGTGATCACTGATGATCACTAGCTCTTTGGTAAGTGTGTAGCTCATGGAAAATAGACTATATTGTGAACATAAGCCATAAACTTAGAACTTAACTACATAAACTTAACCTAACTGCATTAGCCCTGTGAAACTGCCTCATGGAAGACAGTTCAGTTTCCTGGGGATCATCCTTTCAACCACTTGAAAAGAAAATCGTAGTCCATGCTACTGAGTGACGTCTGTTAACAAAAAATTAAAACACATTAAGAGCGCAAGCAACAGAATTTGCTTGTGGCCAGAACAAAGAGTAAAAATAAAACTGGCAGCTGCCACAAAGAGCTGACTTGTAGCAAGAATGAAGTGTGACTTCCTGTTTGCGCACTGAAAAAGTAAGGGCAAAATCAATATGCAAAGGTCATTTAGTCTGATTTTATTGAGCATGTGCTCTAGTATAACACACTGTTTTCCAGAATAACCAAGAGGTGTCTTTGGAAGTTCAGATTAGGACTCAGTCATTTAAATGCCTCCAAACAGTCATAGCTATTCCAGATATGAGTAGCCTTACTGAAATACTATCAGCATGCATTTGGGAAGAACAGGGCCTTGATAATTATATGATCTTAATAAATCAGTGGCATGTTTTAATTCAGTATGGTAAAAGCTAGAGGAGCACTGCTGATTTTGATTCATAAAAATTGAATATTGTGGTCAAAACTTTTCCCCAAGCTGTAATAGTTCACTCTTCTAATTTTGTTTGCTAAGTTGGACATACTGCCAAATCCATTTACTGCTGTAGCATTCAGCCCACCTAATGAAAGCACTCACTGTGATAATTATAACCCTTTTCAGAATTAATTTTGATTTCTGTCTATTCTATGTATTTTTGGGAACCTATTCTGTGTATTTCTTCACTATTTCATGTAATTCATTTGGCATAATAGTACCCAGGTCTTGCCATTATTTTTCCTGGCCATGTAATTAGAAAAGCAATGGCTGTAAACACATAATATCTGAGCCTGTGTAGCATTCTCTCTCCCATTTTAATATAGAGTCTAATGAGCTTATGTACTGTTATTTAAAAAAGTCCCTAGTCAGTGTAATCTTAGCATTATGTCTTTTTCATATCTTTTATCTAACTTCAACTCCTGACATGTTTGTAAGCAAAGTGGCACATACCTGGTTTGTGTGAAGTCTTAAATGTCTTGTTATGGTGTGACATTTGTTAGCAGTTATCCTCTTCATCTGCCCTCTTTTGAATTCGACACTTCAGCTGATATTTCCTATTTATTCTGCAGGAGGCAACTGGGGAGAATGTGCCTGTTCTTTTGTTGGGTAACAAAACTGATAACGAAAAGGAGCGCGAGGTCCCGATGGGAATGGGAGACCATCTTGCAAAGGTACTGTGTTTAGGGAACTCCTTACAAGGTTTGAAGGTGAAGGTTTTAAAATGGAGTTTCCAATGTGCTTAAATTCATAGAAACACAGAGTAGTGTTAGTCAGACAGGTATCTTTAAGGATTAGGAACCCCATCACACTCTTCAATTCAGCTTTCGATGATGTAAGTGCTGATAATTATAGTACTTACAACACTGCCTAGATGAAGAGAACACCCTAAAATCAAACCAATCAAATAAAAAAAAAAAAACCTGAATCAAACCAAAAAGTGAGTGGAGAAGAAAAATATTTAAGAATTCACTCTTATTGTGTCTCCTCTCTCTCTCTCTTTGTTCTCTCTTTTTCTCTATTTTTTCCTTGCTGCTTCTTTTCTCTCTCTTTTTTTCCTCCCTTTTCTCTGTGAAAGAATTCTTAACACAGAGATAATTTGGGGACCTTTTCTCCCTCCTACGTCCTGTAAAACCACAGAAGACCATCTGTTACTCCTGTGGTAGGAGTAGAAAACATGTTTACTTTTAGTAACTTTCCATCAAGGAGATAAAATAAGTAGAGTTAGCAGTCTGCATCTACCAGAGCACTGGTGATCCATGGGCATAATTTAAGCATTCAAGGGGCTGCAAATACCACATACTTGTTTATATTCTTGTGTACCATGCCCATCAACTTTTCCTTTGAATCTCTTTAACAGTGATTATAGTTTAAACATGAATGCCTGCAGAATATTAATTTATTTAGAAATAAGTCATCAAAATATTGCTGAAATATTCACTGAATTGGTAGGAATATACCTAAATTAAGCAGTCTGCTGGACTTCACATACTTACCTGTTTCACCTTTGAAGATAGATTTACTGCCAGTAATAAAAAGAGTATTTTCAAAATTTGAAGTGCAGCTCAATTGTTCTTTCAGGAAAGGTTGCTTCTAGGCACTTCTCTGTAACTGAAAGAATTAGGGCCAGATCTCATCTTATTTCAATTATTCACATAGCCTTTTGGAATGATACCTCCCTATTCAGGTTTGTGTTCATTATTTGGTTTTTGTCAGAGAGAATTATCAACCTTGAACTTTATCCCCCAAAGGTTCTTCCTTTAGGAAATCAGCTTTCTTTTCTTGTGTCCATGGAAATGCAGATAACTTTAAGACCCTGGAAGCTAGAAGGGACTCCACGGTGTAACACTGAATCCTTTTGTGAAAAAACAAGTGACACATAGATGCTAAATGGACAGAGAGTAGGAGTCTTGCATGTCATCTTGCTCTAAAAAAACTGTACTAGTAAAACAAAGATGAATCATTCTAGTGTATAGAGCTCACAGCCCACCAGGCTATTAATTCTAACATGTCATACAAGAAAATAAAATGTTTTGCATAAGTAAAACAAGAAGTTGTCAAATAAGATGGTTATAATCAAATGAATGAGTCTGAATGACTCATTTGAATGTTTGAATGTGCTGCCTGAGGTAGTTAAGAGAAGGAATGATTAATGGCAATGGATTAGTTGAAAAGCATCATAGATATAATTAAATTATAATAATTTGCTTGCTGAGCTAATAATAACCATGGATTTTAATGAAATATTAATTCTTGCTAAATGGCTGTGTAATTCCTATGAAGCCACATACCACTGTCTCTGTTGATGTATGCAGCTGAGTTACTGGTTTTGTGAATAATCCCATGAATTACTCACGAATGATCCCAAATACACAGGGCAAGATGCTGAGCTGATATTAATTTGTATAGCCATATTTGGTGAAAATAAACTCTTCTTGTTCAGACAAAGAATCAGTTTAGCCCATTTGCCCTGAAGTCCAAAAGTTTTAGGGAGCGTTTCAGTGTCTCACAGGACGGGATTGGTTTCAGTCAGAAAGGAACATGTACTTTCAGGGGGCATTTCAGCTCAGCAGTATGAACCCTTGCTTTGCTTCAGTCCCACATCCTACAAGCACTGTGCTGTACTTCACCTTTGGTCAGAAACCCAAGGGCTTCCATTATAATGCACTTGTCACATAACTTCTCTGCAAGGCGGACAGCACAATTCATTTTTAAAAGGAATAATGGCAGCCTGAAGGGAGTTGTCATTTGAGAAGACTGGTAGTTCCAGTATGTTTGTCATACCCTGTGAAAGGAAGAATGGAATGAGCACAGGGATTGTGGAAGTCCATTTGACTTTTTTTAGCAGAGGATCTGGAAGAAAAACTCCATATAACAAATTTCTCTTTAGCTTAGCTTGATCCAGTGATCAAGAGTTCATATGAGCACAACAAGAGAGAGTATTCAGATCATATTGTGAGCATCCAGGAACAGCCAATGTTCTGTTTGATAAGTGTAAGCACTGCTAATTATTTAAATGAAATGCCTTATGATAAAGGTGCTGTTCAGGCATGCTTATAGCCACATGATTTTATTTTGGCTCTGCACGTACTTTCTGACTGATCTTAAATGTGTCAGTAAATCCTTCTCTATTGCTGTTCCTCAACTATAAAAAAAGATGCCTTGTCTGCCTTGGCTTTGCAGAGTGTAAATGCTTCATGGAATGAGGACTGTTTCTGTGTATTCATACGGTGTCTCCTTTGTAAACCTGTCAGTGCCATTCTTACACAAATACTTCTAATGAGGGAGCTATTCTCAGACTAATGCTACTTTACAGGACAGAAAATTGCCCAGCTCTCTCTGGTAATAATTAATTTTCCTCCCTATTCTTTAGATGTCTGCTGATTTTTAGGTAAGTTTTAAAATTAAGTAATTGCCAGTGGTCTCCAAGGTTCAATAGCTAATTATTGGATGGAGGTGGATGGCATTTCCTAGCTTAATGTGTCCTATGTTTGTGCTCCTTGTGTATTCTATCAATTAAAGTTTCCTCTTTGAATCAAGGAAATGGCATCTTGTATTTCCAGACCATCTCCCCTTTCAGACAAGAACCTTTTTGCTATACTGAGAGAATTAAGCACTCATTATCAGTTGAGTTCAAATTGTCATCTTTCCATCCAAGCAATTTGTAGAAAAATCCATTCAGATTCATGCCAGCATAAATGAAGTTGTCAGTGAGAGCTCTCCTTTAGTGACACTTGTATGTGAGGAAGATGTTGGAGTAGTATCACTCTCAGCATGACTGATATAAAATACCTATAAACTGACCACAGTAGGTTTTCTATTAAAGTTCTGATCAGCTGGGCAGAAAAAGAGAGTGTAATTTTTATTTCAGGCTTCTGTTTGCATAGCTAGCAAGAAATTTGACTTGGTCAAATTTTATCTTAAAACTTTTCTAAGAAAAGCAAGAGAATCATAGGGTTGCATCATTGTAAACGTTATATATATTAAAAAAATAATAATAAAAAAGGATAAAATATCTATTCAACACTAACATCACCTGATTTCTTCCTTTTCTGCTTTTCTGTGCTTATCTGGTCTTCAAGAAATTACTGCATGTTGTTCAATCCTATTTTTCATTAGAACAAACAATATAGCTGTTGACAACATATTCAAAACTGATGTTGGATAACTCTGAAGCACTTTTTTTAAAGCTGCTAAAATAAACTACTGTATTTATGAAATTATTTTCCCCACTTTTTATCTCTGAAATTTCATGAAGATGACATAAATTTCCAAAAATTGTGCAATTCTGGAAGTATGATGCATAGAAAAAAAAACAAACCAAAACTGAAATACCTGATCATCTTAATGGAAAGCTTTGAAAACTGAATTATAAATGTCTTCTGAAGAGCGGCTAAATAAGCATAAGTGCAGTAACCACAGTTAGTAACAAACAAATGAAAATATGTAGATGTGATTATAATTTTCTAAGGTGCTGACTTAGTTACTTGAATTTTAAGCTACTGCTGTAAATAGCAATAAGACACAGAGAAAAATGGAAAGTGAATAGAAATTTGAAAACTGGATGGGTAAAAGGACATGTAGTAATACCACAGAGGCAATATAAATGACCTTCATTGTAGTAGGTTGTGAAAATAGACAGATGTCTATTATGGAGGATAATCTGTCATTCCCTTTCAAAATTCTCTGCAATCAGAACTGCAAGGTCAGGCTCTTGTGCAGATGATCTCTTGCATTTGCCTTTATAAGACTTCAGCTGAAGTGCTGAGAATCTCTCCCAAGACTTGATCATTTACCCATTATTCCTAATTACAAAACTTCCAGGGGAGTACAAAACTGAAAGATGCAGGCTGACTGCAAAAGAAGGTGCAGAAAAATTTCACAAGTACAAAAAGATGAAAGAAGAGTTACTGGAATTCTTTTCACCTGCTTTGTCCAGCACTCAGTGATGTGGGAATTGCCTGATCATCACAAAGGAGTTCAGGAAACTTATACCTTACAAGATTTCTTTTCATTTGAGCTCTTACATCAAAAGCCACTCCACACAAATAGAACAAATATCTTCTAAGAGAAGCATAAAGTTGTTATTTTTGAGGCACACTTTGACTTCCTATGTTACTCTTCACTGTTAGCTCTAAAATTAAAATCCTAGGAAGATCTATTTCTCCTTCTTTATTTTCATACTTCAGTGTATCTGCATTTCTGTTTTTACAGCTGGAGTGAGACATTGTGCAAAAGTAATTGAAACGACCTTTCTCTTTGATTGTAGGATTATAATCTAATTTTCTATGAATGCAGTGCATATTCTGGGTACAATGTGGAAAAGTCTGTGCTTCACTTAGCTAGGTAAGAAAAAAACACAAACAATGAGTTTTTTATGTGCCTGCATGCCCTGTAACTGATGACATTGTGAATTCCCTTTGTTTAATTAGTTTTATGTTATATTATGTTATATTTATATTATATTAATTTTATATTTATTAGCTATAGAAACTGAGGGTGGTGAAATATTTATTGCTTTTAAACTGCTCTGTAGCCTGACCCTGTTGCTCTGACTGAGAGTTGCTTAGGTTCAGAAAGAGTTATGCTGGTGAAACTTTGTATGGATCCAGAAACATCTGGATTGTTGCTAGGAAAGCTGAGGGCCTTGGCTGTTGTGATAATTCTTGCAAGAATTTCCTGAAGGTTTGGAGAAATATATTTGAAAATGGATACTGTTGACTGCTTGCAGCAGGACATTGGATATGCTTCTTTCTTCTCTCTGATCATTACTGCTCAAATTCTTCCTGGGGGCTAGGAGACCAGAAGAAGTGGATTTTTGAAGTTATATAAAGGCTAGAGGTAAAGGTACAGGAAAATATGGCCCCTCTGAACTGCTTACAGAGGTGAAGACACTGGTAATGAGTTGGAAAATCTCTAGTATTGTTGCTGAAATCAGTGAAATTTTGTGAAAGTGTCAGTAATTGATGAATGACTAGGCAGACAGATTTGTTTTAGTTTTGTTCCAGCCTTAAAAGTAATAGATGAAAGTCACTGTTTTGAGTCTCTGTAATATGCAAAAAATATTAACAATCAGCACTAATTTTTTCTAACTAAATGAACCAAGGCAGTTGTGTTATGGGGTCACCATATTTGTGCTTTTTTGTTTGTTTGTTAGTTCACAAAATTGTATCATCTATTGTAAAATCTCTGGACATTTTTATACTCTTGGGAAAATGTTTTTTTGTTTGCTCTCTTGTGGGTTTTATAGACTTTTTTTTCTCACATGTATTCTTTCTTTGCCCCAGGATTTTAAAAGAACATGAAGATAAAGTGAAAGAGAAAACCATTGAACTTCAATCTGATACAAAAAAAAAGTCATGCTGTATGAGGCAATAAAATGCTGAGGCGTGTTTACAAGTCATACATTTATACAACACTACCTGGAACTATCAGATTTGCTTTTATCTTCCAAATATTTCTTCTGCTATGTTCTGAGTGTAGGTGTAAGTGGAAGTTAAAATCTTTTTATGATCTGATCTTGCTTTTATAAATATTATCTTCAGTTAATTGACAGTGTATTTGGGGCAGTAACAGTCTCTTATTCTGTTTGATGCCTAATACCACTGAATCCTGTTTTGTCATCAGGCTTGTAGAAGCTGTCACATTATTAATAAGAAGAAATAATTTTATGGGGAGAAAACTATTTGGAATATGAAGTAAATTCTTACTGGTGTGAATGACCCATCCTGTGAATATGGCTTATTTCATTTTTGTTCAGACCTTTAGATCCTGATTTTGTGCTGAGGTCTTTATAGTTTTTCAAAAATTTACATAGGTATAGTTGTTTGTAGTTCAAAACATGTTAAGGCTGACTGAACAGCTCTTTGTCTTCAAAAGGCTGTCACAGAAGGTATCATAGAATATTTTGGAGGTAGAATTTTCAGAAACACCGGATCTTATTTTGAGGAAGACTTTGAAAAACTTACCAGCATTTAATGAGTGAAAAATCTCACCAAATTCCAGTGAGATATTGCTCTTTTAGCAATGCTAAGGAAAAAATCCTCGTCATTTAGCTAAACACATGACTGATTTTTCAAAAGCAGCTGCCACACAACATTCCTCCAGGGCCTGATAGCACTGAGACACAGTTTACCCATGGGGATGCGTTTTAGAAAATCATGGCCCACCCTGGATCATAAGAAACGCAAATGTCAATTATCTTTTGAAGCTTTTGTGGAATATAAATGGAAATAAGAAACTTGAGAGTGCGTCACCCAGCCACCACATGATCAACAATTATTCCTGGTGGAATACGTCTTCACTGCATCCAGCTATTGTGGTAAGCATTCAAGAACAAGTATTCACAATGGTGAGCTTGTTGGGAAAGTGGAACCCATGACATAATTTATATCATTAAAATATCACACAGGACAGTAAATTTCACTATATAAAACTGTTACAGACATTATGTTTTTAATCCATTTTTTAAATGTTTTAAAGAAGTTATTTTTCGTTTAACTAATGAATCAATTTGGAAGTAAAGATGAACGTTAAGGACTAACTCAATAAGTAACTTTAGTTTTGGGTAAAAACTTTGTCAGTAATTAATTATGCTCTTGGGATTTCAGTCTGATCAAAGGTGTTTATCTAGTTCCAAGAACTGCACAATACGGGTTTTTAGACTTTCCCCTACAGCAATTTCTGTATCCATACCAGCACTCAAGTACCCTTTCCTGTGAGTTGGGATCCAAATGTGACCCCTTCCCTATTAGGCAGAATAACCAGGGGCTTACTTCTATCAGGAATGATGGATGAACCAAGCAGCCCAGGATAAGCTGATTATTAAGAGCTTTTTCCCTTGTTGATTCCTGAGAATCTGCTCATCCAAATGAAAAAAAACTCCCCTTGCCTTCAGTGAGGTGCCTAAGAAGCTCTAAAACACAAAAGGAGCAAAATGAGCATCCATTACTGAAAATCAATAGGCTTTTTGTTCACTTCCCAGGGTTACTTCTTGAAGTCCATTACTGGTTATGGAGAGTTGACCTTAATGACTGTGGCATGTTATCCATCATGGAAATCTTAGAATTGAACCATCTGTGTTCAGGCCTGGCTGGAGCTGAACTAATGCAAGCCATTAATTTAAACATCAAAAAAACCAATGCTTTATCCTAATTTCAACTAGGAAAGAAGTGTCACCAGTTTAAATATTGGCTCTGCTAATTGACTTTGAGTGATCTGTTCCCCCATCAATATTGGAACCAGCAATATTTCCTTCAGCCTCTGTCAGCCTCAGGAAGATAGTTTAAACCCTTAATTTCAGCTTTACTGCCCATGATTCTAGCCCCACAAACTCCCAAATTCAGATCCTTGATTTTTTTTCCCTGAAATTCATCTTGATTTTGAAGGACAGTGACAGGCAGATTATCTTTCTGTGAATCCCAAGGGGTCATTTTTACTTGGGTGTCTGAGACGCTGCCAGCAGGATGTACACAATTTGAGAACAGACAATGCTAAGAAGCAGCTGAATCCTGGGATGAGGGGGATTTCTTCTTCTACAGACAAATCTGGTGCAGTCTAGGATCCAGGCAGTGTCTTCCATTTCAGATTGATAGCTGTGGCTGCTGCTGACCCTTTTTCGAAGTCCAGCCAAATCCCAAGCTGAGTACACATTGCAAAGGTGCAGATACACATGCAGCACCAATGTCATCAGCCACACAGAAAACACAGAGATTGGTGTCTTCACTACTTGTCACCCACATATACACAAGCAGGATTCCTATAAATATGAACACAGATAACCTAATCCTCCTCTTCCTTTCCAACAGATCAAGACTGAAACTCGCTGATGAAAACGTGCACATACACAACTCATAAGACTTGCAGTGCTCTCTTTCTCCCACTCTGGCCTACACTTCTCCCCAGGATCAAGCAGAAAATAATGTTTAAAGAAAAGACTGGATGACCTGAAACTATGGGGCGCAAGGCTCATTCAGATAAATTCTGACCAGCAGCTTGCCTGCATACAACTCGTCCCTTTTATTCTACCATCTCTTGATTTTTTTCCATGCTTTTTCTTCTTCCATCTACCCTGACCCCTCCCTTTCTCTGTCCTTCATGTCCTGAAGAAACAACTTGTCCCTACTTGCCTTTTCCCTATTAGTCCCAGGTTTTCTACATCTGTACCCACATACCTATTTCTTCTACCATTTCCTAAGTCACCTTGACTTTACATGCTGTTATTGATATAGTTACTGCGGTGCTGCTGGCTTTACAAGTTTCCACTCCTGAAAGAATCCCAAGTATTCTGCTCCAAAAAACCTGGGAAGTCCAGACTCTGCTCACTGTGCTGTCTGTAGCAACTTTCAGCTTCTCACACTTACTATTTGTATCTTAATATTTGCAGTGTTCAGAGTTCCTTGTGTCATGTCCAGGGTTTCTCATGGTCTGTTTGGTTATCTACACCTCAGGCCAGGGCTTACTCACCTGTTGGCACACCTGAACAAACAGCAGCTACTGCTGGATTCATGCTCACTGAAGACAGGTTTGAATAACATACTACAAGCCTCTACTCCCAGACAGATTCTGCTGTCCATCAGGCCATCAAACTGGTGTGGGAATTCTCAGGTTCCCATGTTCCTTGATGATAACTGTGTTGCTGGGCTGCTGTCTTCTGACTCTCCAGCAGGGTTGCATACCTACTGGCAGTATTTTTCTCAGCTCTTCAGAAAGCTAATACTGGCTTAGCAGTGGTGAAACCTCCTTCCCCTTTATTTTTTTTTTTTATTATTTTTTTTTCCATTTTTCAATTTTTCCATTTCAATTCTCCATTGGGAGAAATTTTTCTCTGCTTTGTCAGGAACCCAATACTGACAGATCTTTGGATATGCACAATACAAAGTCCATTTGCATGAATATAACAGAGTGTTCCTAACACTTTGGAACTGGATGTCCATGAATTACTGTATGCCTATCAAAAGAGGTTCCAGCCTGCCCAGATGTGAATGGAACAACAGTGGAAAAAAATCATTGCACAGTATAACCTCCCTGAGAGAAGGGTACAGCACCTCCTGACATACCAGATTTAAGGAGTAATCTGCAGCTGTTAAAATGGGAATGCTCCACACACAAGGAATATGTGAGGAACAGAAGCAAGTTTGCCTCTGAAAGAGTTGTAGTCAGTGGCCATACCCCATGCTGGACCAGGGACAAATGAGGAACAGGACAGCTGGCATCCCTAAGCCCAGAACAACTGGAAGCATTGGGATTTAATGGCTGAAACCATCTTACTTGGGGTGGCAGAAGGCATTACACATAGCCCCACAACTTCTGTGCTGTCTGTTTGCTCCCTGGACAACTTCTGACAGACAGAGTTGACCCCATAGTGAAAAAAATGGAAGCTGAAACTCAGGAGCAGAGGAGAGAAAAAATGTACATGAATACATTTGTCTAATGATTTACATTCTTTTTCTTTCCCCAGAACCTCAATCATTGATAAAAGATTTGTGTACTTTGGTAGTAAATTAACTCAAGTAAAATTTCCCAACTTGGGACCATTTTTGTTTGCAACATCCGTATATTGGCAGAATTTTCTACCATGTGAGATCATTTCGGAAAAAATCCACTTTATCATCTGCACAAGTGGAAGCTTGTTTTAGAAAGCAGAAACATGCTCATAAAGCTCATCAGTGGCAACTTCCTGAATTCATCCACAGCTGTTGAAATAATGGGTCTTTTTGATTATTGAAATTACAGGAATTGCAATAGCACTCACATACACTTCTGAAAAAAAGATGGAGTTGAGCACTTTGGCCTGTTTACACATCAAACCACTGAAGTTCCTTTAATGTGAAGCTAGTAAAAGGCACCTGGTTATTGTCTGATGAAAATAGACTTCTCAAGGGAAAAAAAACAACCCAGTAGGTTAAGTTTACAGGGCAAGCATAAAAGTTCATTTCTATTACTAATCTGAAATATTGTATGCAGTGACACTGAATCCTTCCAAATGTACTAGAAGTTGAAGGACATTGGATTAGTCAGATAAGCATTGCTTATTTCCTTTCAAACACTGAAGAGGGAAGTTTTTCAAACAAGTCCAGCTACTCTGGACATCTGTGTTCAGCTTCTGCAGTTGTCAGTGCCTTTTCTGCCACGTTTCTCCTGAGCACAACAATCATTACAAGAAAAATCCAGATTCAGAGGAGCTTTCTCATTGGAAATGTCTGGTTTTCATGGGTTGAAGAGGAAGGGAGTAGGGAATCCTGTGGAGCCGAGACATTCGAGTAACACACCAGAATCTTACTCAAGCACTCCCATTACCTGAGCTGCTGTTTGTGTGTGTGGGGGTAATGAATGGTGAAGATCCTGCTGTGTTTTGTGTGGCTGATGGCATTAGTGTGTTGTGTATGCATCTGCATCTTTGCAGTACCTACTCAGCTCAGGTTTTGGCTGGACTTGCAGAAGGGAAGAGCAGCAGCCGCAGCTACCATTCCTCTATGACATACTGTGTTGTGCCTCGTGTTTTGTCTTGTGCCATCTTTGCCTCACATTGTGAGATACGTGTTCTTTTGCTCAGAGCACAGATAATATGCTTTTTTAGGTCTTGTGTCACTGTATCAACTTAATCTTTTTTTTTTTTTTTTTTTTTTTCTGTCTCCTTTATGACCTTGTTGCAAAGTATTATCAGCTTTGGAACATCAGTCTGCCTATTTGCAGGATTCAGTGCTGCTGCAGCACTACACCTAAATCTTACCTTTTCAGAGCAAATGAAGTCTATG